TAGAGGAGGTCCACATCTTCGGTAAAAGGACCAATGAGTTACGATATAAAGCAATCGGTACTACCAACTAGCGACAACAAGTCACTGATCGAGGGGACTGACATAGGCTACTTGACGCAGTCTATTTGACGACTTACATCTGTAATTCCGAACTCAGTAAGTAACTATAATAAAAAAAAAATAATATTTAGAAATTAGAATTACCCAAAGAAATTATAGAAACAGAAAAAGAGAGCTGAGTTTATCAAAAAAGGATGACATTATTATTTAAAGTGCAATATTGAGATAAAAACGTTTATAAAGTTGAAATTTTATAGTCCATTTAATTGTATATAAAAGAGCTTGGCAGGAATTTTCAATATTCCCTCACTCTCATCTGGATTCCCAGAATTGTTGAAAAGAATGAAAAAAACAGACTGTTTCACACACCTTGGTACTTCCCTGAATCTATACCAAGAGGTACCGGTTTATATTTCCCTTTTTCAGCTTGCAAATAATAAAAAAGAAAGAACCTAGATCATGTGCAACTTCTCGGTTAACCTATGCTTTTTTTGCAACTTGTCAGACTGTGCATCGGCAAAGATAGAAGACCTTTAAAATTATTTAAAATCAACGGTATGGATGTAGTATGTTTTTTTTTAATTTAAGGTTGTTCACGAGGAATGTGCCACTGCAATCAACCAACCAGCATCAGCTATATATTAGCATTTTTCCTAGCACAAGTATATTATTGTACAGCACTATGTAAAAAATCGAAACAACTCTATAAAATAGTTTAATAGTACGAAAAGTAATTGAAGCATCACAATTGTGGTTTGTGGACATGTGTCCATGTATTAATATAACATTAACTTTTACGGGTTAGTACGCGGAATGGATGCGAAGGTGTGTTCTTAGTAATAAGAATGTATATCGTACCTATGTATATCAACAACTGTACTCTAAAGAAAATTTAATGTGACACTTTTTCTTTACATTGACTTAATATAAATACATATTTCTGGTTGTGCAATTTTTTTTTTAGTTGAGTAAAGTGAAAGGGTCACGTCTTCTGCAATAAGCCCTATTCTATATCCCTTGTTATATTGAACAGTGCATTGTGCATAGCCTTCTCCTGTCGAATATGTATCGAGATCGTATTCTATGGTTTTTTTAGCTAACTACATTCCCAAAAACAACGCTCTACAAGTCCCTTATCATTTCTGTCCTACTTTAAGGACCAACAATGATGAAAAGGTGTGTGGTTCTTCACACATTAGAAACGAGTATCGAATTGTATGGAAGAATGAGCTGTACGAGCTATACCGCGACGTTGACATAGTAAAGCGTATAAAAATTCAACGGCTACGCTGATTTGGTCATGTCGTACGAATAGAAGAAATCGTTTCGGCTAGAAAAATGTTTGACTTCCACCCATGGTAGGAAACGCGATAAAAAAACGTCTGTATCTTCAGTGTAAGTACTAGGTGGCCAACGACATGAGGATACTAGATACTACCAACTGGCGACAGCAAACAACTGATGGTCGTGGGCTGGCGAAAGGTACTGGATGTGGCTAAGAACGATTCACGTCTGTAATGGCCAACAAAGTCAACAAGTAATTTGATTAATGCCTGTTTAATCAATAGATGAATAAAATATTCCGTCTGTTTACAGTAACAACAACAAAATACTATAAAATAACAGAATACCGGAGAATAAGGACTAATAGAATCTTCAGTTGGGTTACAACAACAACACGATACAATACTACACAATAAGAGATAAATGTTAAAATGGAGCAATATAGCATAAAAGTTTTAATATTAATAGAATGGATGTCGGAGAAATTTTTTTAAATATATTATGTATAATATCTACACTTATATTAATCTTTTCTGTTAATGAAAGTAAATCAACCTACACTTTTCCTTCAACCCATTCAGCCTCCCTTTATTCTACTCCTTATCACATCTGGGCTGCAATAGCACACATAATCCACAGTGCAAACGCAATAAATAAACAAAAAAAAACAACAAAACGAAATCAAAACAAAACCTACCCGAATATAAAAAGTCAAGCTAGCAGGCAACTAACCTACCAACAATTAAAGAATAAAAATATTGCGTTTATGTGCCAAAGCGAAGAGCAAGCAACAAAACGCAAATAAATGCAGGCCATTAGAAAATGCGGAGCGCACATTAACTGAAGAGAGAGAGAGAGAGATTGCGCCACGTTACAGCACACAACATTAAACATTAAGTCGGCCATATTGCAAAGTGTGTCTGTATTTTAATGTGTCTCTTGACTCTGACCGGCATTTTTCAATTACGCCATTACTTTTTTTCCTATTTCATTGTGCTTTTTTCATGTGCTTTGTATCACATAAACCGGTAGCATTAATGAAAAGCAAAGACAACAAATGCGCATGTTGAGCGCTTCAGAAAGCTTTGTTGCGCTCACTTGTGTTTCTGTTTGTATTCTACGGCACTTGGCCATGAGCGATGCTCTACATTGTTTCGTATTAACAGCAATATTTACTGGTTTTCTTAGTGTGTGTGTGTCTAGCTTTTATTTTGGGTGCAATAACTTTTGAACTTAAAGCAAAACAAATGACTCAGAAATACTTTTTCAACCAAAATTGAAACAACTTAGCACACACGCATAGCCCAGGTAAAAAAAACGATAAACATTAGCGTCAAGTTTAATATGAATAAAGCTTTTTATTTTTATCAAAAGCTTTTGTATGTGGCTACCAAAGACCGTATCAATATTACGGTCACAGACAACTGTGAAAAAGCTTGTTGCACGTTAAAAAGTAAGCGACAAAGCTTAAGTTCCTTGAAAGCAACTTTTTTATAACGCAATAGATGGCGCTTTGAAGATTTCATTAAATGCTTCACTTAAATATTGTTTCGTAAGTAAATACAGTAATCATTGGATTATAAAAAAACAAAAGATATATGTTTACATTCAAATAATGTAGTTACTTTAAAAATTTACACCAAACTTGATTTTTGATTAAGGTATATGAGGTTTTAAATATTCAATTAAAAAAAATAAAACAGAAGGGATATAAAATTGCTGGGTTAAGCATAACAACTGTACATATAGTCCTTGTTGTGTAACCTAGAGGACTCAGTTGTATTATTAAACGCAAAAATACTAACACAAAAAATAATAATAAAAGAACCATTTCGATTCTAAATTTGTCGTAATTGTGCCTTAAAGGATAAAAATATTAGAAACAGGAGGAGACATTGTTAAATGTAAGTATCTGGTCAATAGTAATGTTAGATGTATCGCTGAGTGACATAAGCACAATAGAGTAGGCCGAGCCTGTCTGGATCTCGTCCTGTACTCTAGTGTTCCGTTAGCACAGATATAAACCTATATAATTTTATCTACCAACTTTGTTTTACATTTACTGCAGATATATTTTTATAGTCAAAGAAAAACTTAAAGTAGATAAACATTCATTATTGAACCTTTAATTGAAACCCTCAAGAGAAACTTGAGGTATAGTACTAATGACATATTGACTTATTCTTTATTAGCTCTGTACTCAATGTCTGGTTTGGATGCAAAATTTAACAGAGTCAATCAATCAAAGTTTAAGTGACTCTGCATTATTAAAAATCTATTCGAAAAAAAGTCCCAATAACTTGTGTCATATCATTTTTAAGATGTTTGGTTTATGCTTGTAAACCAAGAAAATATGCTTGTAAACTAAAAAAAAAAGCAAACATCTGCTTAGTTTGAAAATGCATCTATATTCTATACAAAATTATATGAAATGTGGAATCAAAATGATTTCAAGCTAATTTTTTTGATTTAATATTATTTATTATAAGATATTAATGAACTTGGATCTTAAAACGGTATAAAATTAGTTAGTGAAAAGAAAATGTTTTACTCGTTTATTGCAAAATATTCGAACTTTATTTAAATTTATTTTTTATACATCACAGACATTACTGCCTCAGGATCCGTCTCATGCAGATATTTGATTAAAAATCAATTATTCATAAATTTTCTTTTATGTTTTCGGCTTCATTATTAAATATATTTTTGTTAATTTTGGGATATGAAATCTGATTTTGACTTAAATGTGATTTTAACAGTGATTTTGTTTCGAAGTCTATTATAGCTATAGTTAGAGGGGTACACTTATGCAAACTTTCACTGGATTAGCTTCATTAATTAGCAAATATATAGGTATTAACCCTAAGCGGACAGACAGACAACCAACATGAATAAATCAATTTGTTCATAAATCTGAAGAGTTACATATGTAACTTATATAGATATCATATAAGTCGTCATATAGACTGGCTATGAATATCTTGGTATACGTAACGGGCAGGTATTCAATGTAGGGGTTTGGGTTCTTGTTCAGAGTAATGTTCATATTACGTAAATTCCACTTATTCGCCTATTTTATTTATTTTAATAAAGATATCAAATATGAAATGAAAAGTGATTAATTAATTTTAGAATATTTGTATTTGTTATTGGTTTTATTATAGTTTTTAATTGTAATTGTATGTGTCGTTCCTCAAGTTAACAATTATCATTTTCATAATTCAAAAATTTTTTATTAAATAAATCTTTTGACAAATGGTCGACAACGTCCTCGATAGTATAGTGGTTAGTATCCCCGCCTGTCACGCGGGAGACCGGGGTTCAATTCCCCGTCGGGGAGACCAACTTTTTTTTAAATATTTTTAATATAAAATTTCCACTTTACGGAAATATGTTACTTTTATTCTGGTTCATTTTAAATTTCGGTAAGAACTAAGCTATAGTATGAAATAAAATAATGAAAAAAACTCATTAACTCAGTATCCGTTGTCAATTCGACATATTTGGAAAATCTAAATTGCCCCAAAGTCAGAGATAACTTAAGTATATTGACATCCAATCCAAACCACTACAAGAATTTTTGGATTTGTATATAGAATTTTAAAGAAGCGGCTCTTGGGAATTCCACTATATATTGTTTTAATTTCTTCACTTACCAGTTTTTCCATTGGGACTGTAAGGATCGTAGCTGCCTGCAGACATAGGAGATGCATAGCCATTAGACATATTAGCTCCATAGCTGTGATTCTGCGAACCTGGTGAAGGGCTTAAGGGTGGTGCCGAACTAGGCACACTACCCGGACTAGGTGTCGAAATCCAATCATCGGGTCTAATACAAAAATGTTCCATTAAAAAATTATAATATAAATGCGATGCGATGTTTTTGTGTACTTACCCTTCCAGCCGCGCACGTTTCGATGGCACAAAAACCAAATGACCATTTGACCCACTGCCAGCAGCCGCACTGGCAGCAGCAGCTGCTGAGGTAGATGCTGCCGCGCCTGCATTGCCCGCACCAACAATAAGATTTATAGTGTTGGCATTATTCAAATGACTAACACTTGTTGTCGCTCCGCCCGCTGCTGCTGCTGCTACAACTGCCGCCACAGTTGCTGTTGATTTACTTGTATTCCCACCGACAGCAGTTGCTTTATGTGGCATTGTAGCAGCAGATACTGTTAGACCAACGATATTGCTATTGTTGTTAATGTTGTTGTTATTGCTGTTGTTGTTATTGTTGTTATGATTATTCTTATTATTGACTGTAGTCAAGGCAATGACGTCATGTAGTGGTTCAGTTTTAATGGCAGTTGAGAGTAGCTTGATTTTATCTTCAACGGAAGACGCGGCGGAATTACTTATTGGAGTTGTTGCACTAAGACTATGACTATGACGCTGATGAGTATGAGTATGCGAATGAGTATGTGCATGTGCTGGTTGTTGTTGCTGTTGTATGAGTACTGTGCCACCGTTGAGACCACTAAGTGTGCCTCCAGCAATGTTATCATTTACGGTTGGATTTGCTGGATGTAATGAAATTGCTCCTGTATTGCCAACAGCTGTTGCCGCGGCAGCAGCTGCTGCAGCAGCATTTAATTGTTGCTGCAATAGTATATGACTTGGTATCACTTGCGTTGTTTGTTGCTGTTGTTGTTGCTGCTGAGTAGTCGAAGTTTGTTGTAGCTGCTGCGTCTGTTGCTGTTGTTGCTGTTGCTGCTGTGACTGTTGCTGCTGCTGTGACTGTTGTTGTTGTTGTTGTTGTTGTGGATGTTGTACATTTAAACGATACATCATGGATGAGAGATTCATTGTTTGGTGTATGGTGAACTTTGACTATTTTTGCTTGATTGCTTGCTCGCTTCAGTCAACCGCAATTTTGCAATTTTAATGTTGCTGCTTGCAATTGTGTTTGTTGCTGCAATTGTAACAATTTAAATAACTGTACACTGACTACTGTTACTGGCACCATTCCACCACCAAGTCTTCTTGGTTACATTTTCCATTGCACTCTTTTTGCTTCGTAAGTGCGATGTTTTCTTGGGTTATTGTGTGCGTGCTTTTGACCCAGTTAAAAGGTCAATTACGTTTGACAAATTGGCTTAAAGAATACTCATATGCAGCATACGACAAACTGTAAGTAGCAAAAGAAAAAATAGTTAGAAATAATGTTTAATGAAAATCATGTGGAGAAGAAGAAAAAACATTTTTATTAGAACAAAAAATTTATAGAAAATTGTAGGACATCAAAATCAGGTCAACGCATTTATCAATGACACGAACAGTGCTGGGCATTCACATTGAAATATTCCGGGCCAATGATTACTCGCATGGAAATTCCTCTTGTGTTCTTACTCTGCTTTTCTTATTTACACTATCTGTATAATAGTACCAACTCCATAAACCTACTATCCTATCCTACATATCCTATGCTGCCATTTCAAACTTCCTGCTGACTTATGCAGCACCTATTTTCAATTATAGCGAAAACAACAGCTTTACCTGTCAGTCCACACAAATAATAGCTTTCACTTTTTTAGTGAAAGGCAATAAAATTTCATCAGGATTTTTTACCAGTAGAAAATCTATCACTTTAATAATTTATGAGGGATTGGAAACGGAAACTGAGAGTGTTTGGATATTTGAATAAAAATACTGCTCACCCAAATATAAGAATATGTGAGTGTTTGACGAAAAATTACGAAAAATGGTTTTTAGAACCTATTAGCAATCCTTTCAACGAAATCTAGGGTTATTATATCAAGAAACACAGAAACTGAATTTTTTTTAATCATTGTTTTTTGTTGAAACTTAAAATTAATTAAAAATGCATTTATATTAAAAAAGCTATAAATTCTCACAACAGCTGTAGTTTTTCAACTTGAGAAAGTAGAATGGCAAAGTGGAAGGAAGATTCAGAGAAAATTTAGGGACATGAGACTTAGGGGAATGACATCATAACATATAAAAGAAATTTAGGAAATTTAAAGGGCTCAAGAAAAAGATGTGTATGCAAAATAACACAAAACAGAAATTCTCATCATACTTCAATATTTTAAATATATGTGCAAAATAACCCAATAATAATAATTCTCATAAGCTTAAAAAAATATTTTCTGTAAAAGGCCAATCTTTCATATTATTATGTTTGAAGTAAATATTAATTTAAAAAGAGCTAATAACGCTTGTGGTAACGGTCAGGAAAAAAAATAAATATTTTTTTTGTAGATAAACGAAACCTAAAACCAATCTTAATCAATACCAGAACTTCAGCTTATTGAGTATAATTATACTAAACTACGAACCGAGATTTTATGACTTTGACAAAAGTGCCAGTGTGAAGATAAAATAAGCTGGGTTTTGAACCAGACCAATGGTGTGCATTGCTCTACCTACTAAACCACAATACCTATTTCAGAAACTTCAGCGGCTAAAAGCTGTGGTTAAAAAACCTTATGGTTAAAATTAAAAATACTTCAATTTTCTAATCTCTCAATAATAAAATAAATAAAAAAAAAAATTAAATTCGAATGAAAGCTCAATTGAGCTATTAATAAGTAATAAGTACTATTAACTACCTCTAGTTATGTAAGCTAATTTTGTTTAAATACGAGAGACAAATGAACTTTTGTTATTAACATTATTGGAAAAAAAAAAAACAGGTTATTTACTTAAAAGTAGCTAAAGAGTTCCCAAAATATCTTTAAGATGGATGAAGAAGTGGCAGAAGTAGTTAAATATTTTTTCTAAAAATAAAGTGCAGGTGTTATTTTATTTACAAAAATAACACAATTAATTCAAGCGTTTATTTATTTTAAATTTAATAAATAATATAAATAATAAAAATTATTTAAATAAAAAAAAGTATTGCGCCCCCGGGTGGGCTCGAACCACCAACCTTTCGGTTAACAGCCGAACGCGCTAGCCAATTGCGCCACGGAGGCTGTGCGTGACCTGTGTCGAAATTCACATGAAACGCGAAGACAAACTCTATTCAAAATTTTCGTAATTCTCGGAAGAATATTTCTGCAGAATTAAAAAAAACTTTATTAAACTAAATATGTTTTAATTTTATTTACTTATATTATTTAAAATAATTATTTTAATTATATTTGTTCTTTTCTATTTTTTCTTTTTTTTATATTTTTTAATTTTTTTTTTATTTTTTTATATTTTATTAATATTTTAATTTCTATCATTTAATTTATTAATGTTTTATTCTTATATTATCTATTTAATTTATATTTTTGGAATCTTTATAAAACTCTAATATGTTTAATTTATCTATTTTAATTATAATTAATTTATTAATTAAAAATACATATATTTCACTTTTATTTTGTCTTTTTTATTTTTATATTTCTTTTATATAATCTTTATTTCTTTATATAAAATTAATAATTATAAATTAAGAAAACAATTCCATTTTCCTATACAAAATCTATCTACTTAAATTATAATTAATTTTATAATTTAAAATATATTGTTTTTTTATTTTTCATTTTTTTTTTTCTGCAATCTTTTACATAATTTGATTGTTTATATAAATGATTTTTTAAATTTATTTTTTAGAACAACTATTTAATAATTATTCTAAGAATGAATAAAAAGTTATACAATAATTAACACTATAATTACAATATTATACGAGTATGATAATATAAATATATAATAATATATTATACAATTATATATAACAATATTATATAATATATTATAATAGTAATAACACATATATTCTAAATATATTTTATATATTATAAAAATATACATAATATTATATTATTATAAATAATTATGACAAGAAGAATTGTTTAATTAATTTTATTTAATTAATTTTATTTAGTTGATTTTATTTGCTTATATTTTTTTTATTTGTTTTAATTCTATTGATTTATATTATTTATAATTAAACAATTTTTTGTTTTTAATTTAATTCGATATTTTAGTTAATTAATTTATTCTTAAATTATATTTATTTTTATTTTTTTGAATATTTATATTTAACTTGTGATTATTAATTATTTAAACATATATTCAATTTATGAATTTTAATAATGATGTTTTTAAATGTTTTAAAACTATTAAAAAAATATCTTAATAATTTTCTTTTGTACTTTACGTGTCTCGTGCGGAATTCGTAAAAATAGTCAAACGAAAAACCTAAGTAGATAATTTTGTCGTTGCTTTTGTTGTTGGCTTCAACCAATGAACGACCGTGAACATTTTTTATATATAGAAACCAGGCATTTTTACACAAACACATATATACGCACACACATACACTCGAATATACGTCAACACACAAACACAGAGATGTGCATAAGCTCACGTGCAGTTACTGCAAAACATGAACCAACCCTGTCATGTAATGGAAACGGCAACAACCCTCAGAAAAGTAGGTCAATGCAGCAGTTTAATGCACTGCTCTAGGCGCTGGGTGCACATGTACCAAGTTTCTCATTTCTGCGGCGGTACGGAGCTACGTAATATGTTGAGGTGGAGTAGATCTACGTCATATCAGCCAGCAACGTAGCTATGCTTTTTACGTAGTTCAGTTCGTAGCCCAACTGTGGACGGCGTGTGAACTCATAGTTGGGTGGGAGGTCATATCATAGTCTAATAGGCGTTACCCAGATGTCTTTCAGCAATACTTAAATTGAGAATTTATATTGAACTTAAAAGAAAATAAATTGAAAAAAAAAAATGAAATGAAATGCGAAGGAATAAAATATACAAAAAATAAAAAATGCACTGTCGTTTGATATGAGAAAGATGAGAGTGGTTACCTTTTTGAAGAGATACTATAGACATTTGTTTATTCTTGAAAGTAAAAAAAGTACTTTCAATTTTTACAGTTGGAATCAAAAATTTAACAGAATGAAACGAATAAAATACGGATCATACGAATCAACTATTAATTTAGAACAAAATATCAGTCGTACCCGCAGTATTCTGAACCATTGGTAGTCTGTTCTCAATCCCGTTTTTTTTGTGTCTACCATTCATTTCAAAAGAAAAATTGAAATTTGTAAATTGAAGTTATGGGGACTATAGCAACTCTTTCCATTGCCCGATTCACTAAAGTATTTTCTAAGCAAAAATTATTCCAAATAGCATACATGTGGGATAAGAACATCTTAAATGCAACCCTGTCCCTACTTTCTAAGAAACAGCTGATCTACATCAAATAGGCAGTTCCGGGCAGAACAAGCAAGAAAGAAGATTTGCTTGCTTATCGAAAAACGACAGATAACGAAGCCATAAAAAGCGCATTACTGTATTAATAACTTTTCATTATAATCTTATACTTTATTTATAATAAGTTAAAACTACAACAATAATAAAACTATAATATTACTACAGTAATAATACCACATACATTATGAAAAAAAGATACAACACCACACTTTCTATCCAAATACTTAGGTCTGGCTAAATTAAAGCACATCAATATTAAAATTTATGTACTAACAAACCTGGTAAACGTTCAAAATATAGATTTAAATAAAATAATCGGTTTTTATCAACCTTTAGCTGTTTAGTTTAAGTGACGGTAGAGTTTTTTCTTTCGTCACTTGCTTAGACAAGTATCCTTGACTTTGATAGACGAATGATTTAGTCTCGGTCGACGTAAACATTTTCAGAGGATTTCATTGTTTTCTTTTTTCTCTTACTCCTTGCTCCAATCTTCACATCTTATTCGAACAGCCAATTTTTCGACATGGATACCTACTTGCAACTGTAACTAAAACAAACTGTGCGGTTGATAAACATTACTTTTTGAAGGTCTATATAGGAATGTCCATCACGCGCATAAGTACGTAGGCTTTGACAAAAAAATGATTTAATTTTACTCGATCCGAACATTTGCACGGAATGTGTGCAAGAGCTCTTACTGTTCAGCTGTTTCCTTTTCGCCCCCCTTCATCTACCTGTGCCAGATATATCTAGCTTTGATAACCTTAATCCACTAGGTATTAAGCCTCTTTCTGATATCTCTCTCTTCTAATTACAGGAATAAAATTCCCACATTGCAATGGAAATCTTTTTCATTTATTCCCAAATGGTTTTAGCGGGTTTAAGTTTCACACTGTGGCTTTCCGCCTACTGTAAAAAAAAAAATTAAAAATAAGCTATTTCCTTTTCTCTCTCTCTCTCTCTCTCTCTCGCTCTCTCTCTCTCTGCGGTATCTTTATGTCTGGTTCGAAAGCATACCCAATTATTCACCAAGAGTTTTCTCTAGTCACTGGCCTGTGAACATCGTCGAGATTTGTGTTCTCGAGAAATTAAAATCTAACTGTGTTAGCATTAAAATTAGCCCCTGCAGTTTTAATTTTTTTTGTTCTGTTTTAGCAAAATGGTTATAAATATTCCTTCTTATACATTTTAATGAAATCAGTATTTGTTCCTGAGTATTTATTGATCGGGCAAGTTGGCTTTTACAGTGTCATCGTAAATCTTATCTTTGGATTTGTTATAACAAAGCAACGATCATGCACTCTTTGAAAAGCACAGGTAGCTAGTCACCTCCTAAACCAAAAACTAGACAAAAAAACCCAAAAAGTGTACAGGAACGTATTGGTACCAACACCAAATATTTTAACTAAGAGTCAAAAAACACCTATAACCTTTAATTTTAGTATAAATAAGTTAGAAATTGTAGCATTATTCTTAACTATAGACTAAAGAAGTGTACATTTTACTTAATATGGATAATAAATACATAGCAGAATATTGTGAAGTGTGTAATTCGGTATACATAAAGAACAGTATTCACCAGTGAACAGTATTTGCCAGTGAAAAGTTTTCATCAGTGAACAGCGTTCAGTAATGAACAGTATTTACCAGTGAACAGTGTTCACTAGTGAACTGTACTCAGTAGTAAACTGTATTCAGTAGTGAACAGTATTAATGATTTTAAACTCATAGTGTATAAGTAGGCATTATATCGATGGCTAACTGTAAGATTTAATATAAACGTACACAATCGATCAATACTACACAAGATCAGTACTACAAGAAGTGGGGTGCACCTTAATTCACATTTTTAAATACTGTTTTAGTAGTCAAACGTTATTTAAGTTCCATAAAGCAATTTTGTATCGCAACCAATAATATCCCATATGGTCTAGTGGCTAGGATATCTGGCTTTCACCCAGAAGGCCCGGGTTCGATTCCCGGTATGGGAAAGTTTTTTTTACCTTGTTTTGAAAAGTATACGAACTATTTTGTTCTAGTTATTTCACCTAAATCATATCAAAACTGGAGATTACTTGTAGAAATAGGTTTCAGCTCACTCAGAACGGTGAGAAAAATGGATCCGAAGATTTTTAATCTTCTTCTAGCTAAAGATGGGCACTGACACATAAGATGGAGCACGGTCTCCTCTTCATACTCAGAGCCAGTCTCATAGAAATTATTGAAATTTTCAAGAATTTGTTTAAACGCGAATACAAGCTAATATATATATGGTAATTATTGAAGACAATCAAACTATGGACACTAAAGATATTTTTAAATTTTAAATTTAACACTTTTGCCAAAAATAATATATATAAAAATAATAATTTTATTTCTAGAATTATTGCTGGATACTCACTGCATATAAAGTGACTCACCTCATTTTAGTAAAGAGAAGTTAATTGCAATATTAAACACAAAATGTTTGCATAATCCATAAAACTGTAGTGCATTTCAAGTTCGGCTTATGTCAACAAAATTTCGAATAATTGAAATAAAAATAAAAGCATGAACGGAAGTGGGGTAATATGCCAGACGGCAATGTGAAAACGTTTAACTTCAAATACACAAAAAGTGAAGAATAAATAATTTATAAAAACATTATAAAAGAGCAAAAAAGAATTTTTTTTTTTGAGTATTTCTTTATTTTTAATTTTTTTTTACATTCATTTTATTTTGTCGATTCACCGCTTTTAATCGGCACATTTTTCAACGAAATCGTCCGAAAAACGCGCGCAAAACGGTCAATTTGTTATCTGGAATTTTTTGAATTACTTCAGAATTTCATTTCCCACTGATTGCGTTAGTTCGAGATACACTTTCTATTTCATTCGCCTCATTCTAATGCAATTTTCTATGCATTTAGCAGTTATCAGTGCTATCAGTGCGAGCAGCAACTGCATTCATCCAATTGCCACGCAGCCTCCGGACGAAAATAGAGGAAATAAAGCGATTCATTGTCCGACGATTTGAAATGTTGACTTCATTTGAAATGCAGATTAGCGGAAATGCAATAAAAAAGCAATGAATACCGATGCTATGCAATTTTGTTATTTGCTATTCAAATTCTCTTGGATTGCAGTTTCATACCGACAAAATGTCGGTCAGAAGGGAGGTACAAGTTGTCTGGCTTTATGCAAATGTTTGGAATGGGGTATTGAACTAAGCTGACTACGCTTAAGACAAGACGTTTGGATTAATAAGCAATGAATAAAGTTATTATTATATTTTGTAAACATTTATTTGATGACTTTGTGAATATGAAGGTGTTCATAGTGGTGATGAAGTCTAAAATGGCATCAGTTACTAAATATATGGTTTTTTTGACTAACTTTTTTAACTATTTCTACGAGATATCTAAGGGTAATTGTTCCATTAACTTTACTAATGTTCTGGATCTGACATTATTTTAAAGTCTTTTTTAAATAAATCGAATCAGAGTACAATAATTATAACAAAGGTTCCCACAAAAAACGTTATTACAAGCGTTCCAAAAAACTATAACTGCAATACTAGTACTTAAAACGATTCAACAATTCATCTTTAGAAAGTAAAATATAGTACTTGAAAAGAGTGCTCTCTTTATATATAGTGCTCTTATACCAGATGATAGCAATCCTGAACAGACCCGCAAAGAAAAATAAAACGAAATTTCTAGAAACAATGGCTGAATGCTATAGAAATGGATTTGAAAATCTTGATCTTTCAAAATTACAAAATCGAAGTCTTTAACTTCCGATTTTGAAGAAAACCAAAACCGGGTTGAAAGACTTACAAAATGAGAGTTTGAACCACTTATAAATGTAATCGTATTACTTCTATAAATAGGTAGAGCTATATTAAGTATCTAAACAAGATTCGGGAATGAATTTTTATCACGACTGCATACATTTTTGAAAACGAGAATCAACTTTGTCAAGTAAGTAGACCACCTCATATAAAATAAACCAGAACTCCACGTTCTGAGCTTACAATAAGTGATATAAATAATATAAATGCAATATATGCAGAACCGAAAAGTCACAGAGTTAATATAGTTAGTTTCGTAAGTGTATTTTAGTCTGATATATAAACAGAATTGTGTTCATATTTAATAAAAGGTTGTTATTGACTTCAAGTTTAATTACAAGAAAAGAACAAAAATTTATTTACATGGTCCCATCTCAAGTGAATACGGTATTTGCTTAATATCATTCCTTAAGATTTTTTCAATAACACTTGCTAAATGGCTTCGTACCATCATACAACATTCAAAATTATATTTATCAAATCTTTGCGAACAAAAAATAATTACATGGATATGAAAGCTAAAAATGTATCATATCTAGAAATGTCCAAAAACATTTATAGGTATGATAGCTTCAAGCCATCCTACAACATTCAAATGTATGATTTCAGTAGTTTAGGAAGTGGAAACAAGTTACATGGGCCCATGTCAGATCACAACGAATCTTAGTTGATATGATTCTTTGAGATTTTTTGCCAACAATCAAAAGTATATTTACAAATGCTTTGGGAATTGAAAAAAGTTATATGGATCGACACAGTACTTGGTTGATATGATTTCTTAATATTTTTTGCCACTTGCACTTGCACAATGACTTTGTGCCATCGTACAATAGTCAAAACTATATTTAGAAGAGCTTCAGGAACAGAAAAATGTTATATGAGTTCACGCCAGATCGGCATGGTGTTTGGTTGATATGATTCCATGAGATATATTGTTGAAAACATTTGCACAAAGACTTTGTGCCATCGCACAACAATCAAAAGTATATTTACAAATGCTTTGGGAATAGAAAAATGTTATATGGATTGGCACAGTACTTGATTGATATGATTCTTTGATTCTTTGAGTATATTTACAAGAGCTTCAGGAACTGAAAAATGATACATGGGGTCACGCCAGATCGGCACGGTGTTTGGTTGATGTGATCCTTAATCTTTTATGCCATCGCACAACAGTCAAAAGTATAATTACAATAATACTGAATGTAAACAGATTTGGGTGATAGTACTCCGCTCAAGTCTTACGGAGTTTGAATAGGTAGAAAATTATAAGATATTTTTTTCTCATATTATATATTCCATTTACTTTTTATATAAAATGTAAACGGAACAAAAAAGAAAATATTTTTTTAGAGACAAATTCTTTTCACGTACCAGATAAAGATTCGCTAATCCATTTATTATACAGAGTAAAGGAAGTTGTATTATTTTTATTGCTTTATCGTGTTGAATTTATTACGGCTCACTAATTTTAAGGCAATATTACGTATATTGAAAAAGTACACAGATTTTTACATTCGAATAATATTGACAGAACGATTTTTTTTTTTTATAATTTTATAAATATTAAAAGCACTTTTACGAATTTTTTTTTTACTACGAACTATAACGATATTCTTAATAATAATATGTCTAATATAATATTCAATTTTATATTAAATAATTTTTTTGAATCTTACAATGTTTAAAACTATTTTTTTATCGATTTCGACTTAATATATATATTTTGTTTTTCTTTTTTTTTGTTTTTGATTAAATATTAATTTTTTAATATTATTCACAACTACTTTTTTCACTATTACTATTTGTTTTTTATTTTATTTATTTTTTTTTTTTGTTTTTTTTTTCAAATACTATTCAAATGCATTTGCAGCAAATATTTTTTGAAGTGTAGCCTTTAGAATATCCGCGCGGATCATTAAACTTTTCATAATTTTTAGTTTCAATCAAGTGTAAACATAGTTGGTGGAGCACGTGCTAAATACATGCGGTGACACACAACTGAAAGAAAAGACACATATAAATTAGGTAACACTTTTGGATATTTATTCGTACATCAAAACACTGACACGTACATATACAACAGCAGCCTGTGAGTGTGCAGCGAGCATGCCTTTGTGTGTGTGTGTGTGGATAAACAATATAAAAAGCAAAAGCTTTGCTTGAAGCACGAAACTGAGTCAAAATAAATTTCGGTTTAAAAGCCCAAAGAGCGCCGTTTTTATTTATTTTAACTGAAAAATCTTTTTTTGTGTTTTCTTTTTGTTTTATTTATTATTATTTTTTTTCTTGTACGAAATAATTTTATTGCCAATTTTTTTCTTATTTATATTTTTTTTTTTTTGTATTTTTTAGGTTTTAACACAAATACAGGTTGACTTTTTGGTTGCGTGTATATAATTTTTATTTATTCATAACATTTATTTTTAAATTTTTTTTTTGTTTTTGGTTGTTTGGACTCTTGTATTTTTGTTGCTTTTATTAATTTAATATGAATTTATTTTACTTTGTTTTCTTCTTTTTTTTGTGTGTTATTTTACATTAAAGGTTGCTGTTGCATATTCGCATTGCAAAAAATGTTAACAATTTGGTTTAACATGCGCACGCACATACACACACATACATACAAAAGCATGCGTTTTTATGCCCAACAAATTAAAAGGGAAAAATTTTTTTATTTATTTAACTTAAAATTTAATTCACACGCCTTTATGACTTAAAACTCTGTTTCAGCCGGCAGCGCTGCTGTCTGTTATTTCTCTGCTTTGGTCATTTTATTATTTATTTTTTTTCGCTGCTCATTGAGCTCACATAAATATTTTTTTTTATTTTAGTTTATTTAAAACTTTAAATTAATGCATATTGTTTTACATTTTTTCTTTTTAATTAAATATATTTTAAATTATATATTTATGTACTTCTTACTGAACACTATTTTTTTATATTTCTTTTAATTGAAAATAAATTTATTCCAAATTATATTTATTCTCCTTTATCATGTACATTCTTCTATTCTTTTGTTTTTATTGTTTAATTTTTTAAATTTTTTACATATTAAAAAATTTTAATTAAACACTAAAAGCAGCAAAACTTTAAACAAAAATTTTATTTTTTTATTAAAAAAAAATCAGATATGCAGCAACAACGTGTGCGCTGACTGACACTGACACAGACCGTCGTCGTTGCATTAAAAATAACAACAAAACGAATTTTTATTTAAACTTTATAAAATAAAAACAAAAACACTGCACAATCAAAACAAAAAATAAAATGTAAATAAAAATATCAAAGCTGATGCTGCTGGTGCTGCTGCTGCTGTTATGCGTTTTTGTTTGTTTGCTGCTGCTGCTGCAGAGAATTGACACATATAAAATGATGCTCATGTGCTCTTGCTTAGCAGCGAGCGCTTTACAGAGAGTCTTTTAGCTGCTGTTGTATTGCTTGTTGTTTTTGTTATATTTTTATGTGCATGCAATTTTTTTTTTTGTCGTTTTATTTGTATTGATGTAACGTAATGCTGCTCACACTATATGTGTAACTTGTTTGTGCCGCATCGGCGAACTAATCGAATACACTGTAAGCGCCTATAATTAAATTTTATAATTTAAAAATAAAAAAAAATTCAAAAAAAAGAAAACAATTTTAAATTAATTTTAAAATAAAAAATTCTTTATGTTAGCCGCGTTTATTATACACTTGAAAACGTTACAAATCGCAAGCTGATACTGTATTCCAAGACAATTGTGAAGAGAGAATTTTTTACCACTTTTTGTTGTTGCTTTTGTTGCTTTTGTTGCTGTTGTTGCAAATTTCGTGATTTTTTTTTCTTTCCGTTCACTTCAACATTTTTATTTGTATAAATTTAATTTTTATTTATTTATTTTTATTGCTTCCTTTCATTTTACATTAAAAACATTTATAAGATTTTATTACATTTCCTTTTAAATTTATTCTTTTTTTTCTCTCTCTCATTTGTTTCTATTATTATTGTCATAATGTACAAAAAATACCGTAACACATGGCACCGCGACGTCTTATGCTGCGGCGTTATGTCTACGCGCTTAAAACAACTGAGTAGGTTAAAAAATATCAACATGCTAGCATGCTACTTTTGACCAAGTTAGTAGTAATCGCTGTTGTTGTGTTTGCTGTAGTAGTTGTTGTTGTTATTGTTTTTGTCGTCATTCGTTTTGTTGGCGAAAAAAGCTGGTCTTGCTGTTCATAGTAGCAAGAAGAGCAAGAGTAAATAGCAAAAATATTTCTGCTAAAGAGCAATGCAAATAATATCGATTTTATTGCAGGCATTAAAACTTGTTATAAAAAAAAAAATTAAAATCAAAAAAAAAATATTTTTTGATGCGAATAAAATGAATGCAAATAAATGAAATAAAAACAAAACCGTTGTAAACTCGCTCATAAATGTTATGCGTTAAATGTACTCGCACATGCTATGAAGCGAGTGCATGCAGCGAGTAAGCGCAATGTCATAAAATAGAGCCGAGCCTAGTATGTGTATTGGAGCATAAAGCAAAGGAAATGAATTTTAATAGTATTATTTTCTTGTTTTTGTTATGAAAGAAGAGGAAGAAATGCAATATGTGGCTAAATAAATTAAATTGCATGCTAGAAATAAATGCGTGTAAGAAAAATATGTTTATGCACTGAAAGTAAAATAATTTAATTAAAATTTTACAAATTTTTTAAATTTTAAAAAGAAAATTATTATAGCATTTCAGAGAAAATAATTTAAATATTTATCTTCTAAAAAAAATATTTTAATTACGCCGGTTTTTTAACTATAGTCTGATAGTACAGTGAAGATGACTGTAGACTAAAGTCGAAATAACAAAGCAGATGCTAAGAAGCGAGGAAAAAAAATAAACCCTGTCGAAGTAATACGAAAGTGGTCCCAGAAAGGTCTCCCTAATGAAGATGTATGGCGTTTTAATTGGTAAGAGTCTGGCACACCGGTATCATGACGATGGTACTGACGGCCCACGATAAGTTTCACACGCAAAAACAAGAAACGTATAAGTTTTTTTAAAACTATTTTAAAAATAAAAAACTAATATATAAAAAAATATTATTTAAAACTAATTTAAAAATAAATAAAAATATTTAAAAAAAAATTTTTTTAAAACTAACTATTATAATATAAAAAATATTTTTTGAAACTAATTTAAAAACAAAAAAATAATTATTTCTTGTAGAAGGCTGCAAAAAATTTAAATCACCAATCCAAAATAACCCATCCCTTAGAAAACCCTAACAGACCTTAGACTCACAATGACAAAGATAGAGGTTATATGGTAGCATAAAAACTGTATTTAAAAACATCTGGTTTTTAACTTAACATCAAGTCCCTTTCTATTGTCAGAAATCTCATTACACTAAGCTTGGATGATATCAAGAACTATATTTTTAAATCTTATCAAACCAAAAAAATATACTGGATATGACAAAATATGACAGTTAAAATAACGTCAAAATGACGTTGATCTATAACGTTGATCTTTTGGCTGTTATCTAAAGCTATGTAAAGTTTTTCTAATTACATGATTCAAAAGCCAGAAAAAAACCTATCTTTACCATCATCATATAGAACTATTAGTGTTCTACCTTAATTATGTAATAACCCAAAGACGCGTTATATCTAAACAACAATTCGGCTTCAGAACAAGAGTTCATGAGACTGTTAAGTAAGTCCACAGAAGTGTCAAAGAAATAATTACTGCTTTTCTGGACAAAAAAAAACTGTTCCGCTGTATGTTTGGGTGTGATTCAAGCTTTCGTTAAAGTTTAGCATGTGGGCCTGATATATAATATAAGTTAATTTCTTCCTGACAATAAACATAAGCTTATCTTTTCATGTATAGCTAGTAGAAAATTACAATTACAATAAAATTCTTTTAAATTAATTTTGATAAACAATATTTATAATTTATAGTTAAATATATAATTTAATAATATAATTTTTATTACCAAATTTTGATTTGGTGTTCCTTAACAAAGCGTTCTAAGACTGTTTCTTCATTTAACTTGCACAGCTCATTTTTTTCTAAGCCTGACAGCTTAGGCTTTCGAATTTTTTATTGTAAATAGTCAACTTCTAGTAAAAAAGACACAGTTTTAAATATATTAAAAAAAAATATTTAACGAATTAATTTTTTTTATCGCATAACATAAAAATGGCAGCACAATAGAACAACAAAAAATATTCTAAACGACCTAATTTAATTCATAAAAATTATAAAAACTTAATGTGTAAAAAACTAGAAAAAGAAACCAATAATAATATAAAATAATAAGTGCGATAATATATAATTTAAAATCATTAACTAAAATAAAATATGACTGATTAATAGGTGAGATATGGGAGCATTTTTTTGTATGAAGAAATTGCATGCTATAAAAAGCCTAACAAATAAGAGCAAACCAAAAATCGCATAAAGCAAGTGAGCTTAATTAAAACACACAAACAACATTAGTTGCTGCCTCTTAGCGGCCTCTATGTTGCCTCTTTGCTGCCTCTTTGCAGCTCACTACTGCTACTGCACGAGGCATGCGTTCGGCAATTTCTTTGAGAAGACAACTCGTCGTGTTCGTATAATACTACATCAAATACAATATATACGTAGGTACTTATATGCAGTCACCTATTTTATCATTCGGCTCATTCTGACAACGATGCAATTACAACAAAAGCGAAAACAGAAATACATTATGAATTAAAACAATAACAACAATCACAATAACAACAACAACTACAACAATAATAACAATAATAAGATAAAGCTTGCAATACAATTTTATGAATTAATTTAAAGTTTGCTTGGCTTGCTTTGAGTTCAACGATTTTTATTTAAATATTTTATGCTTATTATTTACTTTTTTTATACATATATTATATTACATTAATAGTTTATTTTATATTATTTACATAATATATTTATATATTTTTCTTTTCTTCACATTTTTTATAAAAATTTTTTAAAAGGAATAAAATCACTTTCGCTGCACTTAAGAACTCACACAACATGTTTACGATTGTCATATGCCTTTTGGTTTATTTTTATAGCCACATTTTGACAACTGCCGACATTGCTCTCTCCTTCTTCTTCTCCTTCTAATGTAGGATAAATGACGCAGGCGTCTTTAATGCTAGGCACTGCCAGATAAGAATTATGTTAGAAGTTTATTAAAAACTTATTTCATGCTATAGGCCCATGCTACATATGCGTCAAATTAAGAGGAATAAAAATAGTTTTTATAACAGTTTTCGCACAGTTTACTGTATGAAGTGGATTGAAATTTTACTTATGTTTTAATGGTGTTGAAAAAGTGATGAAATTAATTATTGCACATTATTTTTTTCAGACATTTTTAGATATTTTCTATTTTGAGTTTACAAAGGCATTTTATAATTAATGCCAGAACGGAACATTGAAAAGCGAGAGTAAAAACATTTTATATGTAATTACGGAATACCAAAAATAAATGTTATATGACTTTTCAAGATGTGTCTATTGCTTTTTTTACACACACAAACACATAACCGAGAAAAGTTCATGTACATGAATTTTCAATCTGCAGAAATCATCCAGTGTGACAAGTATCAAAAATTAATGCACCATTAATACTCAAAAATTACTCAAAAAATACTTAAGTGTGGATTGACCATACACATATAACACTTAAAAGAATATACAAACACGAAATATTAAAAAATTATATATAATTAAATATATATATATGTGTAAAAACATTCATTTAAAAAATAAATAATTGTTTAATAGAGATATTACAAAAATGTTTCAAAATTGCTTTCGGAACATTTTTTTTAAATTAAATAATAATTGTTAAATTATTTTTGAGAAAGATCATTTGTAAGAAGACCATTTTAAGAACTACTAAACTAATGTTAACATTAATATTTACATTATATTAATGTTAAAAAAATATATTCAAATATTTCACAATAAAAAAGGTACTCGGTGCGTATAAGTGATTTTTTTAAGTGTAAGTAATTTTTTTAAACCCTGTACAAAAAAAAAAAATAAAATTTTGTTTTTCAGCAAAGCGCTTAGGGAGATATCAAAATCTAGTAGTGGCTTGCTATAACCATTTAAGTAAGCCAGTGCGTTAAAGAAGTAGAGTTAAAATAAATGGAAAATGCTTGCATTTTATTTATTTCCCAGAAAATTTTCTAATAATTTAATTTTTTAAATATAAAAAGATCACCTACATATAGCAGTAACACTTTGTATTCCATTCAGACCTTAGTGAATTATTTTTATTAGAGTGTTATGACAGTATAGGAAAACCAATAAAACAACAACTTATTTATATTATTATTTATATTATTATATTATTATATATTATATATTATTACACGAGTTATTACACGCATCTCCCAAATTCGGCCCTGTGCTAAGTTTCATTAACGGAGCAATCATGCGATATTATTCGAACGCATGGTTGCTACCAATGGTTGATAAAGAAAATCACTTGCCAGTCCAGTACCGATCGGTTAAAGGATGTTCAACATACATATATTTATTGTAGGAAGTAAAAAGTAATTAAAAGAAATTGTTGTTTTTTTCGGCCGTTAATGTTGTTTGTGTTTCTAAAGCCACGTATTTGTGGACCGGATTAATGTCGATGGAACAATTATATACTTTTTATATCTTATTATATAGTTATGTTTAATTATTGCTAGCAATCGTTGTTTTCTATTGTTTTAGGACGACCGCACTTTGTTATGGAAACCGTAGATTTCGTTTAAGTTCTTTAATTATTTCTTAAGATAGTAAGTCTTCTTGGTGTTGTATGTGGCATTTAAGTGTTCTTAAAGTCTAAGAACCACACAAGTTCGATAGAAATTAATCAGAAAAATTTTGTTTTCCCAAATGTTGGATCCGAAAAACGTAGTAATGTTTGACAAAATATAAATAAATTTTTATTTTTTTAAATAAATAAAGTTTTCAGATAATAAACGAAATGTATTAAAGTAAATTGAATATAAGAAGTAATTATTTATTTTGGAAGTGCCTGTAAAAGAAAAGAAAAAAGGAAAAAATCATAAGATTGTTCAAGGAAAGTTGAACAAGAAAATAACACAGTTTAACGAAAATTAAGAGAGTATCTAAATAATATTAAAATTAAAAATTGAAAAAAAAAGTCAATGAAAAAAATTGCAAGTTGAAAGTTAAAAATATTTATTACTTTTTTTTGTTTGATAATAAAAACGAATTTATTATAAATCTAACAGAATTTAAATCATAAATCAAAGTCTACAACGAAACAGTTTGCAACAAATTGTGAGAACAGGGGTCAAAGTGTGCTTTTGTGTAATACGCAATAAAACAATAACAATTTGACTACGACGATAAACACAACAAAAAAAAGAAAAAAACTAGTTGAATTTTCTAACGACAATGGATAAGCCCACTACGTCGATTTCATCATCGTCCGCAGTGGCTGTTGCAGATGGAGCAAGTGCTGCAGTGAGCAGCAAAGTTACAGCAACATCTGCCGCAACAACTACCACAGTCAATAGCAATGTGACAAGTGTTAAACTTATAATTAAGGCCTCAAATCAACTACACGATGATCAAGTTGTTGAGAGTGATTTACTTTGGACTGTACAACGTCTTAAGATGCAATTGTCTTTGGTTTACCCAAGCCAGCCGCCTGTAGCAGAACAGAAGCTTATTTACTCAGGACAACTTCTAAATGATAAGCTCTTACTGAAAGACGTTATACGCAGTTATAAGGATGTTTATACACAAAACCACATATTTCATTTAGTTCACACGCCTGCTTCAATGCGATCACCACCACCTCTAGCTGCAAAATCAATACGAAATAAAACTATGACTTCCAATGTAGATATAAACACAGCTTCGACTAATATGGGCTCAGCCGCAACAGATGGTTTACGGCATAGATATATATATTCAGCTACGCAACCACAATATATTTTGCAGCCAAACCCACAGCATAGTCAGCAAGACCAACAAAGCCAAAACCAACAGACACAGCAACAGCAATCAGTGCATCAATCGCAGCCATGGGCAGGATACTATGCAAATGCACCACAATTTAATCCGCACATAATGCCAGTATTAGCTGCTCATGCACAAGCCCCTCTTCCACAGAGTTGCCCCCCATTTGATACAAACAATCCAATGAATCAGTGGACTATGCAAGCAATAGCCACACAACAAGCTGCTATGTACAATTGGATTCAGCATGTGTATTCACAATATATGGATCGTTGTATACAAGTCTCAAATGCATCGCAGAATAATACAACTGATCCTACTATACCAATAAATCATGCCTTTCAGGCACCATATGGATACTCCAATTTTGGCTTACCTCTGATACCAAATCCTAGTGCACATCAGCCGCAAAACCAAATGCAGCAAAGCGCTGAAAATATTGTTGGAAGTGAACCAAATGTTGAACCAGTAGATGTACAAGCACAGGAACGGCCTGAGGCAGTACTACAAAGACCACGTTTTCCTAACATTGCACAAGAGGAACAGGAAAATCGAGACTGGTTGGATAGGTTCTATTCAATAACACGCTTAGCTTTGTTCCTGATCATTTTGTTTTATAACTCATCGCCATTGCGTTGTTTAGCTGTAGTTTTTATTGCTGGCGGAATTTATCTTAATCATATTGGTGTGTTTCGTTTTCGACCAGAACGCAATAACAATAATATAAATCGCAACAATAACGATCAAATACGCCAAGGTGTCGAGGAAGTACAGCAGGCTCAAGCACAAGCTCCTCAAGAGATACAAAATGAGAGTGCATCAAATACTGATCCCGCCGAAGAAAGTTTAGCAAATCGTAGTGAAGATGTTGAGAGTAATGCAACAGAAGAACTTGCTGTTAATGCTGAAGACACCGATGAAGAGCAACAACAACATGATTCTTCTGGTGATACTCCTGGTGACGATGCAGAACCAAATGCAGCAGCTCTACCAAATGTTGGCGTTCTAATATTTGTACGTATATTTGTGCTAACATTTTTTGCGTCATTGCTTCCAGATATGCCAGCATTGTAAACTATGGTTAAACTATAACATAAGACAGAAATAATATAACAAAGACAAGCAAAGCGGAAGGAGAGGGCAAATTAAAATATTTTTATTTAGTAAACTATTAACTTGGAAGAATATGTTAAGCATTGATAGTTTGTTTTTCTACATTTTTAACAAGAATTTGCTTCAACTCTCAACCATTTCCTATTTCAATACACTTCCAGACTTTTCTATTTTTATAAAAAGGAAGTACTAAGTATTTTTAACTAATATTAATTACTAAAATATGTAAGAAAAAGTCATTGGCGTTATTATGTTTGAGTTTAAATAAGAATTTGATTCCATATGTTGTCAACTTAGTACCTCTATATATTATCAAAATGTTTGTCGAAGATTTTTTGGCATATATAATATAATTTTGATAAAAAATTTTAAAAAATAAAGCTACGAAATTTTTATGTAAATATATATACTATTTGATCAAAAAAAAAACGAGAATTTAAAAAAAAAACGCAAAATTTTAATTTTTAATCATTTTCTTTATTATCACCTTCAAAGTACTCTCCTCCTGCGGCAATACATGCATGCCAACGCTTGATCCAATTTCCCATACAAGTTTTATAGGCCGCCGTAGGTATGGCCTTTCTCTCTTTTATTCTCTTTTATGGCCTCTATCGTCTCAAAACGCGTCTATGGTCCTCGCAATGGCAATTTGAGTCGGGAGAAGATAAAAAAGTCACACGGTGCCATATCTACGGCGGTACTTGGTTGATGATATTGGTGGAGTTTTTGGCCAAAAACTGCGACACAACCAACACTGCGTGAGCCGGTGCGTTATCGTGGTGTAAAATCCATGTGTTTTCCTGCCATAAATATGGCCTCTTTTTGCAAATGGCCTCACGCAAACGAAGCATAACGGCCAAATAATACTTCTTATTGACCATTTAACCATCAGGAAGGAATTCATGGTGCACCACACCACGAATATCGAGGAAAACAGTCAGCATAACCTTGATTTTGGACCGACTTTGGCGTTCTCTTTTCGGTTTCGGCTCACCTTCGCAGCACCATTCGGTCGATTGTCGTTTAGTGGGCATGTCAAATTCATAGACCCATGTCTCATCACCAGTTATGATGCATTCGATCTAACATGTTAGGCGACTAACATCCAACAGGTACTACCCGATAATATTTGGAAAATAAATAATAGAGATTGAGTTTCACTTGTAGCACTCTCAATTGAGATCGCGTTTGTATCGATGGACCAGAGTCCACATAGCACTTATCAAGCTAAGCTTCTAAAAGCAATCATAAGTAAAGGCACGAATTGCTTTGAATCCAAATGCCAATAAAAAATAATAAAAGTACTACAAAAGCTTTTAATTCATGCCAACAAATTTAAACAGAAACACACAAAACGTGTATGACAAAAAAAAAAAGAACGAAAAAAAAAAAATAAAACGCGCTAAAAATAAGAACATAATTTAGTTTAAGTCAAGAGGTGTAAAAACCAGAAAAATAAATGTAAATAAACACAAAAAAATGCGAGTAAATAAAATCAAAAGTAAGTACGAAAAAAGTATGTTACAAAGTCAGAGCACTGATTCAACACATAAAAAAAAATACAATATGGAAGAAACCAGTAAAAGCACACAAAAAAGTAACAACAAAAACTTCAGACAAAAATAAAAGAAAAATTATAATCAAAAATATTGTAAACCTCAATTTCTGCTTGTTTGTTGCCAACACAAAAATCAAGCCGAGCTTAAAACCGCACATTATTGAAACCAGTTTGGAACGCAGTTAGAAGCACAATTGCTCTCACGAAAATGTAAGCTTAGAATAAATTTTAAGAGAGAAAAATATGTGAGAGATTATTGAGAGAAGAACTTTTATTTAGAAAATTTTTTTACTTTTTACTGTGACTATTAAGTTATAAAAATAATTAAAATTATCTTGATTATAGTGATTAAATTTTGATTTTTCTTAATTTTTATAATTATTAATTTTTACTATTACTTATTTATATTATTGTTAATTTTTATTTTTATTCATTTTTATTATAATTAATTTCTTTTATAATAGATTTTAATTATTATTATTTTTATTATTATTTTTATTATTGTTTATGTATTAATATTATTTATATTTATATTATTATTATTATTTTTATTATTATTAATTTTTTACTACTCATGTTTTCTATTATTCATTTTTAGTATTACTCATTTTGATTATCATCAATTTCATTTATTTTTAATTTGTATTATTATTATTAATATTATTTATTTATTTAAGTAATAGGCTATTAGAGCACCCCGACTAGGACAATTTCGGACTATTTATAAATCTTGTAATTGTTGTGGGCTTAGTTTTACCTATTTGACTTGGGACTAATATCCCACTTCCAAGGTAATCGAGTCTACGTCTTGCCACCGCTGGGCAGTTGCATAGAACATGTTCTGATGTTTCCTTTTCCTCATGACAGAGTCGACAGGAGTCACTTTCTACCACACCTATTAATATATATTATTAATAATTTTTATTATAAATAATTTTTATTATTACCATTTTTATTATTATTAAATTC